GATTGGTTTGATTGCTAAAATCTTTGATTCCGCCTTGGTGCTTACAAAGGGTTCATTTACTTGAATTAAAGCGTTCACGCAGGCTGAGTACGTATCTCGTGGGAAAGGTAGTCAACATGAGAATACCTGGAGGTTTAATTTCTGAACCAGATGGTTTGTGTAATCACAGGCAGACCACCCTATAAAGGGGGCCTAATGTGATGCAGCTATAGAAATGTAAAAAACAAAGTGAGTGGCGATGGGGAATATAGCGCTGAATTATAAGATTTTCAACGTATCGAAGTTGGGAAACTTTTATTAGGCGAAACAAAAGGTTATCGAATAGAGGTTTTCTGCCTCTCTGAGCAGTTTAAATGATGTTTTTTTCTGGTCACTCCCGACGTTTGACTTGATGCGTAATGGGCTACAAGTAAGCTCATTAGCGCTGCGGCAAGAGATACAGTGCACGTGAGATTTGAGGCGGTTAGCGAAGCGAGCGTGCGAAAGGCCTATGAGGGGTCAAGAAGCTTCATTTTAAGTTGGAGTTCTAAATTCATAGTTAAAAAAAATTTATAAAACCAAAAACTCAGGGCGATTCCATATAAAAACTACTACCTTTATCGAGAATCATTACCACCTTAAGTTGGAGTTGTAAGGAATCTTTGATTCCACCTTCGCACGCGTACTTGAGTAAAAGCTTTCGCACAGGACAGCAGCTAGTCATTTCGAGTTGAGTATTAAAGCCTTTTTCCACTTTTTTACCCCCTACCCTCTTTCTAACTCCACCTCTGAGATTCCACTTCCATAGCCTTTTTGCTGGCGCACATCGATGAGACAAAAAAGAGGTCTCACCGGCAGACTTAACGCAAACAAAATAAAATTCGAATTTATCAATAAGGATGTGTTTGTTTATCGTAGTGGAAATGACTAATTTGTTTTCATGCGTAAAAATTGTGTCTTTCGAGTGTCACGTAATATTACGTCATGCATGCAACATGTGATAGCAATAAACAAAACAGCAAGAATCCTGTTCAACCGCAAATTAACATATCGTGCTACAAACAAAAACTCTGTTTTTAAGTATTATGTTTAATTAATTTCATGTGCACTTGTGGTGAGAGAAGGCGCCATTTTCATTGTCTGTCTTTTGTTGCGTACACTAGATTTAACTAATGAAGTTTAAGGTCAAGATTGCCTTTCATAAGCAACCTAATTTGCGCTACCTACCATAGATAGATAATCTATATTTTACCCACGGAGAATTCATCAGCCATAAAAACATTCAAATATATAAACGTGCATTGGATGGATAAGATACTATGAAAAATATACTCTTAGTACAAACCTAACTAAAGCTGCTTTCCACGAATGCCGTTCCTGAACGTACTTCTTCAATTAAACGCTTAAATACCCCAAGGGACTCTGCTTGCCTTATGTCACGAGGAGGTCTGTTCCAAAGAATGGCGCCACTATAGATATTTTTGTAACAGTTTGTGCGCAGCAAAGGAACATTAAGCTTATTCTCAGAGTCTCTTCGGTTATACGCAGTTTCTCGCCTTTCAAATTTAGAACATAAATAATCTAGGGCTAAACCGTGCAGAGACTCGTAGACCATTATGGCTCTTTGTATCTGCTGCTTGGAAGCTAGGTTTTTCCATCTCAGGAGCTCAAACAAGTGACCAGCATCGGCGTTATAATTTGAATAAGTCAAAACACGGGTGCTCTGTTTTGTGGTTTCTGTACCCTGTTCGGCAAAGTTATCCCTCAGTTTCCCCAAACAACATGATTACAATAGTCAAAATGTGGCTGAATCAGAGCTTGATATATTAGAAGCAAAGTCGCTTGAGGGGCAAGGTGCCTTATTCGTTTTATAGCCCAAATGCCAGAAGCGACTTTCTTTGTTAGTTTATCGATGTGACTGCTCCAATCGAGTTTGTTATCGATGGTCACTCCAAGTGATTTTGCGATGGTTTTGCGGTGGTTTAATACAAAAAATATAATAGTGAGCAGAAGGGGACAATGAAGTATACAAGCTATTATCATTATCGAGAATCAGTACCATTTTAAGCTGGAAATGTAATCAATCCTTGATTCCACCTTCGTGCGCGCGTCCGAGTAACTTTACACAAACGTTCTTTCGTGCGAAAAAATCATCACACTCTCAGTACCGAGTAGTTGCTGGATACTGATGGTTCGTCTGATTCGAAATGTGTCCCATGCAATTGTTAATTGATGACAAGGGTCACCGTGTTCGGTATATGTTGGGATTGAAGTCAGTGTCAATCAATAGATTTATTTCAGAGGGCCTTACGATCGTAATGAAGTGCCTTTTCCTGAAAGATACACTATAGAGAGTTTGTTCTCTGTATGGCCGTCAATACGAGAGAGTGTTATCGATTTGCTTGCAAGTTGCAACTCACAGATTTGCTGTTATCAAAGTAAACTTCCATTTTTTTATCGTTTTATAAAAAATAGTAGGAAGCATTTTGAAGTCTCTAACAAAAAAAAAGCGTCAATAAGAAATCGAGCAAAAAGCTGATAACCATGTAACTCGGTTGACGAAATATGAAGAGGAGCCATGTAGCATCTGAATTTGAAGAATAATCTCAGACGAGCTGTTAATACTTACATAACCTGGAAGTATTATAAAGATCGATGTGTATTTATCTAATCATCTGATAATTTGTTGACAGTGTTTTATCTCTTTTTCAAGCACGAAGCCTACTCAGGGGAAGGTCAAATCTCTCTAATAGTCAATACGGTTCCTTACAGCTTATGTGTTTTTCCCAGCTTGCTCAGTAAGAACAGATAGTATAAGAGCTACAATACTGTGTCCGCAGTACTGATGGGGTATATACCAATCAGTGAAGTATAGCAAATGTGACAAGTGCAGGCGGATGCATTGTCAGATTGAAACCCACGCAGAGTTTTCGGTCACATTTCGGTTCGTTCAAACTTAAACTCACATCTGGTGAATTCCAGTGAGGCCTTTCTGTTCGCAGATTAAGTAATTGACGTTTTATTTTGTTCGGTAAGGTGGAAAGATATCTTTTTCATTATGAACTGTGCAGTCAAACTATTATTTTCGAAGAAATTGGATGATAAGTAATAATATCTCGATCGATGCAATTAAGTATGCGTGGAGCTTAGAATAAAAAAAGAGAAAAGGTAAGGTTATTCATTTGTTTTAAAACGTCTTATTTCGAAAAAACAACAAAAACCGAAAAAATGAAAACAGGAAAGAAGGAAAAGGAGAAAACAGTTCAAAGGTGTCAATAATTTGCAGTTTGCTTATTGTATCTGCAATCAATAATCTCCCTACCGGCATCAACATTCATTTCTATTGATCCATAAGGACATTTTTAAAAGAGCTAGATAGTACTCTACTCATTAGTAGCGCTTACGTCAGCAGTTACCCGTCGGTAACTTTTTTACGGCCTCGATGTTTTGTCACTATACATCTCTGACTGGGGAAAACGAAGTATGAAAGCATCCGTAGTATGCAGATCAAAATTTCAATCCGAACTTAAAATCCTGATATGCTGCTAAGACCTCTCCAAGCATCTCAATTTGAACTGTGACTGAGAACAACGTCGAAATTTTACAGAAGCCTTTTAAAGTTTTCAAGAGGTAAAGAGTGCTGACCACAGCCTTCGGAAGGGTAATGCAGCTCCCTCTCCTGTTTAGCTCCAGTGACTTTCATTTCTGTTGGTCGTGATCAGGGCAATGCAGCGGATTGAGACTAGCGAGTGGCAATTAGTTAACAAGACCAGTTTCGAAGGGAGAATTAGGTAGTCACGTTCGGCGCGCTAACCTAACATTTCGATGAAATTCCTCAGAGCACAGACTCAGTTCAGGAGAGCGTTGTTGTTTGGAAAACCACACCAAAGTGCTCTTTATCTCAACAACAATCATAAGTTGATAGAAACTTTTACCTTTTTTACTACATTGTTTGAATCCTTCTCTTGAACAATTTATTTTTTTTCGCGATACATTTGATGGTACATTTCCAACATTTGTCTTATTTCTGTGTACAATCAATAATTCGTCTCGAGTTCCGTTTTACCAATAAAAGTTCAAAGAAGAGGAGGCAAACACTGGTTTGCAGACCTTTTTAACGAAGAAGTTGCATTGTTTGAATCCTTCATCTCTTGAACTTTATATGAACTAATTTTTTTTTTTTCTGACGATCAGGAAGCAAACATTTGATTTGGTGGGCATTTCCAAACAAAGGCGCAACGATTTTGTCTTATTTCTGGTTGTACGATCGATAAATGAATTTTCTTTTCTCGAAAAAGTTCCGTTTTTGTCCGATAAAAGTTCAAAGAAGAGGTTAAGGTTTTCTTCATTTAACGAAATGTGAAAAGTCGCACAATAAATAACAGGTTTTGAGTTAGGCAGAACTCGAATACATGACGCTTACATAGGAACAGACGAAACGATCTAGGCCACAAGTGCACCTCCCACGAATGATCTAAAAAAAACGACTACAACTCAGGCTTCGATACAATCCATCGATCTTGTCGAAGATCAACTTTCATTTAATCCTAGGTACCTTTCGAGGGTTATAATTTTGAATGCTACCAAAACTGGGCTAGGAATACGCTGTTTGAAAAAAATTGGCTTAAATCTCGCAAGTTTTATATTTGCTGCAAGAATCAATCCACTAAACCTTGACCCAATCTTTGGGAATATTCTCTAAAAAACTATCAGCATAAAATTCAGATATTTCCTAAACTTCTCTGCTCTGCGATTGTAAATTTTTGAAGAAAATTTCCGGCAAAATAGCTGCCTCTCTTTTCAACCTTATCAAAATTCTTGAATAGTAGGTAGGTTCTATTGCTTGATTTTGTTTTTCTCTCAAACCCTCCAGGTGTTATTGCTAAAATAGTATTAGTTACTTGGTTTGAAAAAGTGAATGAATATAATTATAACTATTACAACTTCCTTTTTTGTTGCAGTTCCGTATATCATGATTTTCTTTATTTCTTGTTAGGCTGTCTGGGTTTGCGGATGTGAACATGGAGTTCGAGAAAAATCGTCAAAGAGGCTTATCACACCTGCAGCAATTTTCCTTTGGAGTGGGGCACGTGATTAATGACAACACTCGCCGCATGTTGCATTCATTCCGAATGATTTTTCTCATGAGAGTTGTTGGCATTTCTGCAACCAATGCCGGCTTAATTTCCTCTTACAATTATTTTGCCGGTGGAATCCTTTTTGCTCCAGTAGCAGGGTTTTTATGTGATAAGATTAAAATTCCGGTTCTGTCACGCAGGCATGGAAAGAGAAAATCGTGGCATTTGATTGGAACTATAGCAGCAGCTATTGGTATTCCACTCTTTTTCAGCAAATGTTTTGTTTGTGACAAAGGAACCAGCGAGTGGCCGGTGTTGTTGTATTACTTTTTGATTGCCACAATGATCTCATTTTCCATCAACTTTGTTGACATATCGCACTTGTCGGTCATTCCGGTTTTGGCAAAGGATCAGAGAGAGGCCGCTAAGCTTTCTTCTTTAAGGTTTGGAAAAATTTTTTGATAACTAAAATTATTTGCATGTTAAGACAAGCTGAAAAGTTTTTTTTTAGCCTAAGAGTCAGGTTCGGTCGAAACGGTGGTGTTCATAGCGCGGACTTCACGGGAGCGCGAAGTGTGACGAGTAGATACACTCTCCCTGCCGCACAAATTGTGACCGGAGAAATCAGTCAAAAGCCGAATTATCGGGCTGGACATTAGTGTTTTTTGTGGCCTAGCTTGAGATATGATGTCAAGGAATTTGCGTCATTGTAATTTTTTTAACTGCCCCATTGCGCACTCTGACTTCCCCGGGTTCTTCACTGTCCGTATATCAGCATAACGGTGTAATCTTCATTTTGCTTCAGAGAACTCTTTATTATCTAGTTCCATCTTCCTCGAAGTTTCGGAGAAGTTGGTTTCGTTCCAGAAACAGTTGCACCTAATCACTTATCAGTAGATATTAGGGTGCTCTCACCTCTTCAAAGCTAACTTGCACTTGACCTTTTACTCACAGAACTGCTTTCATGTATTTAACTGGCGTCGTTTGTTACCTTGTGGCATGGCTGATTCTTGGACAAGATGGCCGTGATCAGTTATCAAAAGAAAGCTCAATGGATTTTATGGTAATTAGTAACTCCTTACTTCTATTGTTGCTATTTCCCCATCTGCTTCCTTCCTGTGTTTCTTCCTCATATTTTCATTTCTTTCTCTCTAACTTCCTTTTTTCATGACTATTCTCCCTGAAAGTTCCTTCAGCTGAGACGCTGAGCATTGCGGATGATCAAGCCGATATGCTTCTGATAGATGGGTTCATGTCCAAAATTTTGCTTGAAACAAATAGATATTTCAAACAAAATCCTAAATTCCTTATAGATGAGACTAGCAATAAGTAATTGTTTAACTTTGCAACTTTACGAACTCGTTTTTCGTTCAAGGATCCTTCTATGATCAATGTCATGGCATCACATGGGATCACCATTTGCACCTATATGTGCAAACTTATTTATGGGGTATTATGAGAATCAATGGCTAAATGATTTTAAAGATTTAAGGTTCTACTTTGTCCTAGATATGTGAATGACACTTTTAGAACGAACAGGAATGACGTTTTTATGTTACCTAAACGCCACACACCTCAATATTAGGTTTTCTTTCGAAACACAGTCTAATAGGAAATGTCCAATCTCAGACGTTTTGGCGGGCAATTAGGGAGATTCTTGTGTTCTTTCCATTTATCATAAGAACACGCACACTTGGCTTTTAACAAATTTCCTTAGTTTTACTCATTTCAAATATAAGATAGGTCTCATTCACACGTTGGTAAATAGAATTTTGAGGATAATTAGTACAACTTCTAGCATGAAAAAATATTTTTAAAACCTTTCTAAAACTCTTTAACGCAACTCTTTTCCTTCTTACCTAACTGACAAAATCATATCAACCTATAAAAGAAAATTTGCTTCACAACAACCTCGAGCTTGATGTGACCCTTCTATGCAGAGCCGTGTGGTTAATAACACTAAGTTGCAAACTTCCTATAGGTGACTTTTCTAGAATCGCACGTAACAAATTAACATGGCTATCAAAAATATTTTGCAAAGACCTTAACATAAGGATTGTCTTCACTTCATTAAAACTTGAGAGTTGTTTTAGCTTTAAAGATCTAATTTCGGATCCCTGACTATTTATCAATTTACTTCAGCGGAATGTAACTAATTGCAAGCACAAGTGTTCAACATAGTGTTGTGAGACTTTAGACTAAGCTAGGACAGTTTATTGGCTAAAACGTTAGGGAGGCGTAGCACATTGGCCACTTGCAAACCGAGCTGAATGCTCAGATGTAACATATTGACTGTCATTTTTCTTTTTCGCTTAGATTCCAAGTGTTACATTGGCGCGCGCTATTGTTTAATTCACCATTGTAATGTTTCTAATTTCAAATATTGTATTCTCTTTAAAATTACAAATAGAAATCACTAATGTCCATCACTGAACAGACTTGATTGCAGTTGTGATGTCTGTTCATCTTCAGGTGATAGCTCTCATCCTAACAGGAGTAGGACTGGTATGCTCTGGTATTTTCCATGTTGGAACTAAAGAACCTCCAGACGATTCACCAGCAGAGAGGAAGCTGCCTCATTCGATTGCAGATTATGTGGTAAATTTTGGTTACACAAGAGCAACAGCTAAAAGAAACCTTGTTTTCCCCATCAGTTCAACTTACAGTTCTTTGCGATTAATCACATGATCAATTATCAATTCGATCATTAATCATCAATGTTAATGGAGGCAGGCAGCCAATTCAATGCTCTTATTAATACCATTGGTCGATACGTTCACTATCATTTATGGAAACTGGGTTGACGTGAACACTTAAGCTGACGCTCGATTTTAGATTTGAATTTCGCAAAAAGTTTCCCTGGTTTTCATTTTAACTTTTGGACTTTTTCGTTGCCAAGTGTTGTATCAATGCAATTTAATAAGTTTATTATATCCCTTTTGAAAGAGTTGGATTTAGATCGGTTATTACGACTACTCGTCGTCTTCAAGCTTCACTCCCTGAGCGTCTCGTTGCCTAGTTCGGATGAGATACCAACAAACACCAAGTGGGCATGAATGAAAATTCAAATATTGAGTGAAATGTGCGCATCATTGCTGGTGATCTCATTCAAAATGATATTGTGTATTGATGTACTGCTTCGTATCTCTCGTAGAGAAAAACCTCCTTCATGCCATCAGCTGGTCTCTTACAGTCAGTCCTGTATTTTGAAGGATGTGAGTTGTCATTCATCGTTTACCAACTTCACTTGTTTTGCTTTCAGCAAAGTTTCCTTTGATTTTCTTCCTCGATATCTTCATCTCAATTTTACAGCTTTTCAGTGGCTAATCGATAGTTTCGAAGTCTTCCTGTTTATGAAGAGCCTCGTTTTCATTATTTATTTTATCACAGATCAGCAGCGAAAGGAAAATATCCTAGATAAATTCATTCACAGTCTGCGATCATTAGAAAACAATAATCCAACCAACCAGCAATTATGTGAAGAACAAACCAGCCCTGTCAGAAAAAGCAGTTTCTTTGACCAATTTTTTGAAGCCATATTAGCAGGACATGACACTAACGAAGCTGCGGAAAGTAAGACCATAGAAAAAGAGGCTCATGATCCGACACCGAACTTGACTGTTACCCCAGTGGCAGTCACAAGTGAGGATGACTTCACGTTCGTAAAGACGTTGCCAAAAGAGCGAAAAATAAGCCTTATGATGAGCATCTTTAATAGGCTGACGACAAAACAAGAAGATTCTGCAGGAGAGAGCGATTTAAAGAAAGACGATTACAGAACTTTGGATGATATAGGCGAAGGGGATGGCCGAGGAATGATGGAAAAGATACAACAAAACTCAGAAATAGATAACCAAGGGCACAAACTGACCCCTGCTGTTGACCTTGAAGAATTTGAAACAGAGCCCAGCCAACATTCTCCGGATGTTAGCAAAGATGATAGAAAAGCTCTGCCATCTGTTGCTTCTGATATTGAATCCACTCCTCTACCAAAAGCAAAGACAGCGAGAGCCTGGTTCAAGGATCCTCATTTGTATAAGGTAACTTAAATTAAAGAAAGGGAATGTTTCGACAAAAAATGAGAACTTTTCCACTGCCATTGCCACTGGCATTGATATTGGCATTGGCATTAGTATTAACATTCCCATTGCCATTGCCATTACCAATGCCATTGCTGGGAGTACAATTGCGATATCTAGAGTTTTTTTAAACCGCTTGTTGTGGTACTGCCGATAAATTATTCGGGTTCTTTTCGCGTATTGGGAAACTGTGCCTTCTGCTTCAAGAACCACCCGAGGTAGTAGGCTGAGAGCATTATCCACGACCTTTAGTACATTTTTGCCCATAAGGACGCTATTGGACAGTGAATAAAATATGTTCACCGATGCAAGAAATTTTTAAAATTTCCTGAATAGATTGGTGTGAGCTTCTAAAAATGTGGTTTATTATTTTCTTATCAGGTTGCCATTATTTACTCGTGCACGAAGAGTTTACAGAGTGTGCTCTTTTCTTATTTGCCCTGCTCCTCACCGACGAACTGAAGTTTGGAAAAGTATGAAAACATTTTTAAGCAAATTTAATTGATCATTTTCTAGGTTTAAAAAATACTGAAAGTCATACTTGATCTTCTATAAAGGTTAACCAAATATCTTGTGACTCATCTACCCTAGTTTCCTTGCTTTCTCCTTTCTCAGTCGGCGCATCAGCTTTATAACAAGTCTGTGGAAGAGATAAACAGACAGACGGACAGAACAACCATTTTGAAAAACATAGTACCCAGTTGAAACTGTTTAGGCTTGCCCGTAAATTAAACTTCCCGAATCGTTTTCCAAACAAAGCTCCTGGAAAAAATTTACTTTATCAATGCTCCACACCAGGTAAGAGTGGAAAAAGTTAAATGCCAAGAAAGCTCCTTGATGTTTTCAAATATTGTCAGGTTCTACTTTTAAAAAACTTGTATCTCGCCTATCCGAGGAAATCACGACTCGCAGATCCCATTGCACATAAATTGCCAGTTGATTTTCCCGGAAGAGGTATGGACTCAATAAATTGCTTCTCATGACAGAAAGAAAATCTAGTTAAGGAGTCTCCATGGGGTTTTTGACCGCACAGATCTGGGTACCAACATAGCACGAGCTTTAAAAGTCTCAACATGCAAAACAAGCATGGCGGCTCGATACGATCTCACGATTTTTATTGGAAAACGTGTGTTTAAAACAGTTTATCACGATTCAATTTTTATGTGATGGAACATAGGGTTTCCAGCTATTGCACTCGTAATATTCAAAGGCCTTCTTCGCCTGAAAAAAAATTCAACCGAAAAGAAAACACCGTGGGAAAGATTGCCAAAAGGCGACAGATTCGAAAGTCTACGCATGCTCAGATACGGATCTTGGCGAGGTCTCATTCTATTACGTAATGTTTTGCGACAAAGAAAGTAAGGAAATTTCGAGTAAGATTTATTACGTTTCCTTCGGTTAAATTTCCTAATATTTCATTGTGATCGATCGTTAAAAATATTTGTGCCCTTCGTAGTGCCTGTTAATAGAAAAAAATTATTGTCGGCTTTTAAATGATCGGCAGGGAAATTTTCACAAATTGTGAAAAATTTGGAGATATTCCACCGAAGCAAATTGAAGAAAATTAAAGGCAAAGTCAAATTATTGATGGTAAGCGCCTTCCTTCATGGAAGCCTTAGCTTAATAACAAAAATCATTCTGGTAATATTTACTACAGCAAACGATAGTCCGAACCTTGCTCATTGCCTTACCGTTAGCTTTCAGTGACCTTGAAAAGCGAAAACATAAAAATTTCCTAAAAAAAACATGACGCGTGCCAACATTGAGCAAAAACCTTATAGAACCTCCTTAAAACATGTATAAGATTGACATTTTCCATAACCCCAGAGTTCTGTGCTTTTTCATAGGAAGCGATTGCCAATATACCATTAACAGCGTTAGTAAGTGCCACGTTGTCTACTGAAATTTCAAGGAGACTCTCGAGAAAAGTGGGAAACAAGGTAATTGATACCAAGATGATTAATGACAAGATTATGTCGGATATTGTACAATAACAATAATCTTTTCCTTTAAATTCTATTTCTGTGCATAATGAGGGCTACACCCGGTAAAGAAAATCGTTGATCCTAAGCGATATTGAAAGTGTATCACCATATAAGAATGTCATGCACCTTTTTGAGTATATTTCTCCACGAATATTGTTTCATATCAGTCCTCTTCTAAAGCTCTTCATCTTGTTTCAGTGGACATTCACTGCGGCTGCTGCAACTGTGATTGGATCGTGTGCATGGTTTTTAAATATTACCCAGTCGACGAGAGTTTCTACTTACCCAGCCGTTATTCTACTGGGGTTTGGTTCCTCCGCCATGTTTGTGAATGCTCTTGGCTTCGCAACAGAACTTATTGGAGACAATAAAGTAGGTTGAAGTGCTCTTTATTTTGTTTATGACATTCAGTGAAAGTTTCATTACCCTTTTCATCACTATTCGTTCAAAGAACACACTACGCATTGTCATAGTTAGTTTATTACATATTTTTTCCCATTTAAAATGACTATAAAGCAAGAACATCCTTTATTTCCCTGCAGGGTAGTTCTGGTTTGGTATTTTCTGTCATAGGAACCCTCGCCAACCTGACATTAGGCACTCTGTATATCTTCATACAAGCTTTGTTTCCTAAAGAAAGGTAACCCTAGATTTTTTATAATAATAAGCAATATCACATCGCTCTTTGTTTGTTAATTTTGCTGTTGTCGTAGTCGTTCTTCTCTTCAGCTATTTTTTTCAGTTTCATCTTGCTGTTCATTGGTGTTGTTGTCGGTGTTTTATCATTCATTCTCTTCTAATCCTAGGCCCGTCAATTTCCCGGGTCCTAACTCCGTCGCGTTCAAACTATTAATTCCATCAGCATCCAGATAACACCGTCATAACTAAATCATTGAAATTAGCTTGATCAGGTACCCTTTTTATCAGGGAGTCCCCGTATCTCTTTATAATCGGCCACAAACATGGTAACTTTGAACTCCTGCTTGATCCACGTCTCGTTTTAATGATGCATAATTTCGAAATTGTAGGAGAAAGTGTTCCAAAAATGTGTAAATCAAAGTAATGTTCTCATGAAACAACAAGAAAGTAAGAGAGGCTCGAGAATAATACAGTATTAATGAAGACTGATGGAGGATTTTCGATGCCTGACATGGTCAGCAATTCGTTTAAGCAAATGAAATGACCATTAAACGTAAATGTTACTTCTCAGTGATAGATTTCTTTTTAGATAACTCAGTCATCGACATCAAGGTATTCGTGCTTATACTCATTTTGAAAAGGATGATTCTCATCATATTGATTTTTCTCAGCGTAAAAATTGAATTGAAATATTTTATGTTTTAGTGCGTCTACCGATTGCCAAGAGTGTGGAAATTACGTGCGACGTGTGTTCGCATTCGTTCCCAGCTCACTCGCTGCTTTTAGTTTGCTGCTAGTGATTATTTTTCAAGTTCCTCAAATAGTCTGCGGGAAAAAAGGTGAGATGCAGTTTGTTAGCTGACATAAATATAGAGCAGCTACATTCATCACTGAAATACCGCTGTCTTGTAATATAAAACACTAAAACTTGGTTGGGTATCAGCACTGTTAATATTTCCGTTCAAAAAACTTTGTTTGATGCATTGAAGTCAATTTGCCAATATATGTAATGGAGGCTCATCATAACGAGTCTAGATTTTTGCTCGCATAACGCTGAAGCTTTTCAAATAAATCATCTTTCATTTTTAACTTCATATTCTGGCTTTTGACATATGGTGTTAGTGATGTCTTTGAGACGGGAAATACACGCTCTTGAAGCTTATTATAATCATGAAATATTCAGTGTTCTTGTTATTTCCTTCACAAAACAGAAACCGAGAAGGAGACTGAGCCAGACTCAGGTCATACAACCTAGCTGTGATGAACTGTTGTAAGGAAATAAGATATCTGTGCATACTGGGCGGTAAAACTTGATGGCAATTATTGTTACATCTTCAATGTTGTTTTTTCATTGAAAGCGAATTCAATATTGCGTCATTATTATATATCTTTCATTGCTTTTGATAATAAAGATTTTAATACAGGGTATATCCCAAAATATTGATAGTACTTGATTCTTGTACGTAGCCAATGTAACGTGCCAGTTTCAAAGAGGACTTGAGTGACAGTATCAGTTTCAGATTAGTGGTAATTGTATGACCCCTAAAATATAACAACACGCAATAACATATGTATTAAGGCGTTTCTTGTAACGTCCGTTTACAGCATGCTTCAATTGACGTTCACTGCATGGGAAGTTAAACTTGGGCACACGAACGTGTAAATATGTTAGTCACCGTTAAAAAAAGAAGTGTGGGATTTTATCGAATACCAAAGTATTCATTTCGTTTTCGTTACTTATTCTCTTTCCTTTCGACTCTACATTTCTGTTAACTTTACATCTATCATTTCGTAATCGATTTAATCAGTAGTAGATACAACAACCTCTTTGATTCTTGTGTAGGAGTTCTTTCTCTGGCAATTTTCCTTCTGATTCTCTTTGATTATTCCGAATGGCGACTAAAAAATAATATGTAGGCCGCAATGAGCTGTTTATCTTAGTTAGTAAAGCTTGATTTAAGTACGAATTAGCAATAAAATGTAATTCCTTTGGCAAACACAAAGACACCGGCTGTGTTATTGTTTGTTAACTTGATTTTGTCAACTGAGTTGATAATGTAAATTGACCGCCGTAAAAAGTTTCTAATGCTGATGTTTGGAACGTTAGCCCTCTATCAGAGCGATAACGAAGGGATAACGCTAGTCAGATTTAGAAACTTTTTACAGAGACCAATTTGCTTTATCATCTAGTGAATATCGAAGCGACCTTCGCAGTAATAAACACTTATTACTTCACGGGTTTATTTGCAACCATAGTAATGACCAGCTCTCAGTTGGCTTGTTAGCTCAGATGGCAGAGCTTTCAAATCCCGTACAAGCCTGAATTTTTTTAGGCCTTATTTTCACTACTGCGTAACTAGTGTTCATTACTGCGAAGATTGCTTCGGTTTTCATTTTTCTATCCGCAATTCACATGTATGTTTCTTCATATATTCACAATTAATTATTATCAACTAGGTTGATAAAACCAACTTATCTCGTTATACACCCTATCAACGTAGCACTTATATATTTGTTTTAGAAACTTACTTCTTTTATATCAATGTTTACCAACATAATATGGGTAATAATATGGCTACACATAATTTTCTTGACTCTTTGTTTTGAACAGTCCAGTACATTCCAACATACGAGTCTGATGTACTCGTGACCTATTTGGGCACGAGTGATTCAAACATTCTTAACTGCAAATTGCACTTGCCCGACGGAACTCGTGCAATTTTGTTGCTATTGAAAAATTTACTCCTGCTTATTAACACCTAATTGCACTCGAAATTATGTCAACACCGATACTTATGAGAGCTTATATTTCAGAAACTCTTCAACTGTCAAATGTAAGCCTTAATGTCTTTGAACGGGCTTTGTAATTTTTTTTTCTTTAAATGAACTATCTTAAAAGCACAGTTTCGCCTTTTTAAGCACATTCGAATTCAGTATTTCAGGCGTCTTGACAGCGTTGAAAGCATGGGTCTAAATAAAAGCGATACCGAGTCGGCGACTTCTTTGACGGTCTTTTGGAGTCAGTTGAATGTGACAAACCTCTGTTATCCAGACCTCGATTATCCGGATCTTCGATTGTCCCGGCGAACTTAATTCTCTGGTTGCACAATCTAAGAACGCGTCATGTTACAGTCAAAATTCTATTATTCTCCATTATCCGGACTTGCGATTACCCGGACTCTCAATTATCCGGACTTTTGATTATCCGGACTATTAAGCCCAGCTCCAACTAGTCCGTATAATGGACTATAATGTTTATTTCGATGATTATAAGATTAAACGAAATTTGCTGTTGACTCACGAAATTCACCTCTAGTTTGCAAAGATTAACTTTCGAGCGCCTAGCCTTGTATCAAATCCAATACTATTCAATGTCATGGTAATCTATGTAATCACTTTATATTTAAAATACTTAATTACTTTACACTTAAAAGATTAAATTATTTTAGCTAGTTAAACGGCGGTCCACGGAATTATTAATTAATCGCAGGAATTATTATAACATGAGTTGTGCTTAGATCGTTTATAAATTATGTTTTTCAAAATAAAAAGTCTGCGCTATGTTTTAATAACGTTAGATTTCTGATATCAGTGAATATTTAAGGGGAACGTACGAGTGTACGTGCAAGGTAATTGCATACGTATAAAAGGAAATACGTAACTTGCTGCTAAAGGTCGACTGATTAACTAAGATTTTTTTTTTTCACTCTAGGTCAATTATGAATCTAATCTATCGCAACCGGTTTTCGTTCACTCGAGCATGGAAGACAATGAAGAGTATTTAGCTCTTTTTCAAAAGAAGACGTCTTACTTAACATCGTCATTTTCATCATCAGAAGAAACAATTTTGAGAAATGATACTTTTCTGTAAGGTCTGTTTTCTGCAACATTTTTCGTGGCAGTTGTACCTACAAGGGCCATGAAATGTTCAGCCTTTGTTGTAGCAACGCGATGCACAGATTACTTCAAATGAAAAATGATCCTCCTTCCTGACCTATTTGACGCAATTCAGTTTTGAACAATTCATAATCACCATCAAGAAAGTATAAATATCTTCTCTTGTCACCATGTAATGATAAAATTTAAACATTTTCCCTTTCACTCCACATTATAACTTTCTCAAGGATCATTAGCCTTCTCGTAAGTATGGTAATTGTTACTTGAAATTAAATATTAGTTAAAAGCGTTCGATTATTGTTTTCTAGCGTGCATTACGAGGCAGGAATCGTCTTGTGTTCTGTAATTGCAAATTAAGCATGCTATATCGCGTTATATCACGCTTTTGATATCGGCAAGTATTTCCCTTTAACCAGACATGCTATTGAATGTGGATAAAGATTTTAGAACTTTTTATTCTCGCTTTCTTCTCAGCCGAGCAGCGACTTACAAAAAGATGATATGCTTTGAAAACCAAAAATTCTGTGGCTAAACTATCATGATAAAACTGTGAGGTCGAAAATTTGTTTCATCCCAGCTGATTGCCGAAATGATCATAGGCAAAGTTGAACATCACCCGGTCCCTCAACATCATAAATAGAGGACCTAACCATTTTGTAATTATTATACCTACAATCATAGATATCAGAATAATGTATTACGTTACATTTGAATGCTCCGAGGTAGCGAAAATGAGAAAATAAAGGAAAGGTTAATTATCTGCTGAAAATGAAATGGGTTTGGAGCGCGAAGCTCATTACAAAAAGTAGGTAAATTAGAGCAAATTAATCAACCAAATAATTGAGTAAGACGAAATAGGGTTAAATGATTGGAACTGGATGGAATCAATTTGGTTTTGTGGCGGAGCCAGTCCAACTCGCGTATTAAGGCCTATTCATATTTCTCATCTGTTACCTTTAACAACCCTATAAAAATTCTGGAAATGTAGGCAAGGTTTAAGGGAATATCAAGTTTAGATTGTGTTTTCTTTCAGTCCTCTTGGGCCCCTTAGTTGTCCTTTGTAATTTCTGGATTTAATTAAATAGTCTGGAGAAATGATCTCAAGCTGTCATAGCTGAAATAGTACAGGTTACCCGGTTTGAAAAGTTGACCCAAAATTTAGTGTTACTACTCCTGCTACCAGGACATCCTTCTTTGCTTTTATTTTTCTCACCCTTGATTCCTTTTTAGGCTGTTGGTGTTTGCGGATATGAACGTGGAGATCGAGAAAAATCCTGTGAGAGGCATATCTCATCTGCAGCAATTTTCCTGTGGAGTGGGGCATGTGATTAATGATGTCACTCGCTGCTTGTTGCAGTCATTCCGAATGATTTTTCTCATGAAAGTTGTTGGCATTTCTGCAACCAATGCCGGCTTGATTACTCTCTACAGTCTTTTTGCCGGTGCATTAATATTTGCTCCAATAGCAGGTTTTTTATGTGATAAGGTTAAGATTCCGGTTCTATCACGCAGGCTTGGAAAGAAAAAATCGTGGCATTTGTTTGGAACTATCGCAGCTACAATCGGTGTTCCGCTATTTTTCAGCCAATGTTTAGTTTGTGGCAGTGGAACCAGCGAGTGGGTGGTGTTGTTGTATTACTTTTCCATCGCCACCGTAATCTCATTTTCCATCAACTTCGTTGACATATCGCACCTGTCGATTATTCCGGTTTTGGCAAAGGATCAAAGTGAGGCCGCCAAACTTACTGCTTTGAGGTTGGTGAAACTCTTTCGATCGCTACACTTATATGCTCATATCCATGTTAATACAAGTTGACTATACTCTAGCTGAAAGTCTTAATTAGCCTCAGTGTCAGATTGGGTCAAAACCTATTTTGGTCTTTTTGGTCTGGCTGTCAGTCAAATAAATTCGGGCGAAGTGCACAGCCCTCGTCACGATTGTACATGGTTTAGGTAAAACAATTATGGTAATGATAATAATGATAATAGTAATAATAATAATAATAATAATAATAATTATAACGAAATGATAGTAGTCATAATAACAAATAATAATAATAATAATAATGATGATAATAATAATAATAATAATTTGCGCCTTAGAAGTCAATAAATTATTATTATTATTATTATTAAATTATATAAACATAACGATGATGGTTATATAAATCATGCATGACTTCCCGGTTTAGTTAGTATGTCTGCATTTCGGTCTAAAGTTTTCCCAAGATCTTACTTCGGACAAATCGTAAGTACTTTTATATATTTGTCGAAGTTGATTTCCTTTCCGAAACAGCTACACGTAATAACTTACAAGTAAATCCTGAGGCTGTTCTTGTCTCTACAGAGTGTTAACATTTTTCAAAGCTCACTTGTAGTTGACCTCTTCTCAACAGAACGGGTTTCATGTACCTAACTGGCATCGTTTCCTACCTTGTGGCATGGCTAATTCTTGGACAAGATAGCCGTGATCAGTTAACGAAAGAAAGCTCAATGGATTTTATGGTAATTAGTAACCCCACATGATTCTAGTGCTGCCACTGACTATTACTATTCCACTGTTATTTCTTTGTCTACTTACTTTCTTCCTGTAAAGCTTCCTATTCCTTCAGCTGAGACACAGAGTACCAAGGGGTATCCTAGCTTTCAGCTTGTGGTTGATGGGCTTATGTCCATTTAGGGTTATCGCTTGAGACAACTTTATCTTTCTTGAGTCTATCACTGAACTTACTTAACTGCAGTTCTGATTTCTGTTCATCCATAGGTGATAACCCTGATCTTGACAGGATTAGGACTGATTTGCTCTGCCATTTTCCATTTTGGAACCAAAGAACCTTCAGACGATTCAGGGAAAAAGAGGCGGTCTAGGTTAATTGCAGATTATATGGTAAATTTTGGAAGACTAGCCGTCGAAACGTTGCGATTAATGCAATTGATTAGCCTGACTCTACATTATGAGAAAAACGATTAAACTTTCATTTGTCTACTTTAAAAAAGGAGACAGAGAAGGAAATACCTTTCTTGAATAAACACAGATAAAATGGACATGTGTTCATCGCTTCCCTTTGAATAATATGCAACCAAACTGAAATTAAATTGATTGACTGGTAAGTCGCGATAGCACATGAAAACAAAATGGCAGACAGGTCGAGAGAAAGTTGAACGTTTTAATTTAGGATTTGAAGGAGAGTTCTAAGAATGAAACACCCCAACATAGCACAAACAACTGGCTAAACGTATGGAAGTCTTGGGCACCAAAAACGGTCGCAACGAAAGTATTGAAGGCCATAAGGAAAATTCGCGTGGAGTTTACGCCACAGTTCGTAAAAAGAAAGACGGGGAATATTACGAGCGTGATAGCCTTTATGTACTGATTACTGCCCTTAAAGCTGTTTTCTGATTACTGCTATTAAAGCGATACCTAACTGAGAAGTCAAACAAATGCTCGATAAAAGTAAGTTTAAAAGCTCGAAGCAGGTTCTTTCTAGAAAACCCCGACTTTTCTGGCAACAACGTAAAGGCAAGCGGCCGAACCATTCAGCCATGACACAAAATAAACACGACTAAAAAGGAAACAGAGTTAACTTTTTGCCTTTGAAAAACGAGTGCTGGTTTATCCAAATTTCACTCAAAATTATGTGGCTACCTATACTTTTCGAGGTCTTTTATTGCACGTAAATGTTAACTTTGGGTATAATCATATTTGAAAAAATTATTTGATCCTTACTGACGTAATTTCGAATCTTGACTGCATCGGAGAAGGGATTTTTTCACCACAGAAATGACCCCCACTGTCACTGTTAACCACCTTACTGGAGTAGGGACTGCACGTTATCATGAATACGTCTACTGAATTTTTGGGGAAAATATGCGCTATATTTAACTAACTATTAAACGTTTTTAATCTCTGTTTTCATCTCTGGTGATCTTTTTCAATTAATGTACCGCTTACATTTGTTGCAGAGAAAAACCCCCTTCATACCATTACCTGTTGTCTTACAGTCATTGGTGTATTTTGACAGGCGTAAGTTCTTATTCATCATTTTTAATACCGTGCAACAACTTACTTGCTTTGTTTACAGCAAAGTTTCCTTTCATTCTACTCCCTAAAACATTTTCTTAATTCAACAGCTTTTCAGCTGCTATGAGATTTCTTTTTTTGTAATCATCTTTTAAAATTGATATATGACGCCGTCTCTGTTTTTTATTACCCATAGATCAGCAGCGAGAGGAAAATATTCGAGATAGAGTCATTCACAGTCGACGATTATTTGAAGAACAAACCGGTCCTGTTGGAGAAAAGAGTTTTTCCCAAAATTTTTCGGAAGCCATATTTGCAGGAAATGAAACCAGGGAAGCTACTGAAAATAAGACCTTAGAAAAACAAATTTACGATCCTGCACCGAATATGGCTGTTGTGCCGATGGCAGTCACAAGTGAGAACGACTTGACGTTCGTTAAGACATTGCCTAAAGAGCGAAAAGTAAGCTTCAGGATGAGCATCTTTGATAGACTCATGACAAAACAAGAAGATTCTACAAAAGAAAACGATGCGAAGCCAATCAATGGCAGACCCGTAGATGACATAAGCGAAGAGGATGGTCAGGGAGTAACGGAAAATGGACAACAAAAGTCAGAAGGATACAACCAAGGTCACAAACTGAACTTTGGTCTTGACAATCAAGGATTCGATACAAAAGAAACACAGTTTAACCAACATTCTCAAGATGTTAGCCAGGATGAGGGAAAAGCTGTGCCATCTGTTGCTTCTGATATTGAATCCGCTCAACCACCAACGTTCGTTAAGACATTGTCTAAAAAGCAAAAAGTAAGCTTCAGGATGAGCATCTTTGATAGACTCATGACAAAACAAGAAGATTCTACAAAAGAAAACGATGCGAAGCCAAGCAATGGCAGACCCGTAAATGACATAAGCGAAGAGGATGGCCAGGGAGTAATGGAAAATGGACAACAAAAGTCAGAAGTGTACAACCAAGTTCACAAACTGAACTTTGGTCTTGACAATCAAGGATTCGATACAAAAGAAATACAGCTTAACCAACATTCTCAGGATGTTTGCCAAGATGAGGGAAAAGCTGTACTATCTGTTACTTCTGATATTGAATCCGCTCAACCACCAAAACCAAAGGCAGCGAGAACCTGGCTCAAAGATCCTCATTTGTACAAGGTAACTTAATTTCGGGTATAATTAAAAGGTCTAAAACTCTCTCGTTCTTTCCTAGCTAATTTTGATTTTTGCTTGTATGTAATTCGAATCCTCATGTGTACCTGCAATGTAATCTTCAGCTTTCACACTAAAAAATGAAGGAATATAATTTGTAGTTTGTTGTAAGAAATTCAAGCGAGCCTATTGTAAATGATCCTCGGAGAAACACACACCAGGAACCACATTAATTTTTCTCTCCACCATTACAATGTGTTGGACAGATTATGACACCGACCATGAGATTTCAAAAGGTAACCTAACTTCTCGAAAATTGTCTGTAAAGGTGCTGAAAATCTGACTCCCGTCCCGCTTCGTTTGGCCTCTTACCTGTGACGTGAATAAGTCTCAGACTTTATATTTTCCTCTCCATGACGATTTCTATGCATAGTTAAGAGTTCTGAAAAAAAGTAAATTTTTAAATAACAAAAACTTTGGTGTTTTTGCAATAACCAATGTAGCCACTATTTGTGAGCCGCGCGTTACATTTTCGCGTGAGCGGCCGGGTTACTGAGCTGCTTTCAAAACGGTGGCACCATAGTCTTCCACCTCTGAAGGCAAAGTTTGAACAGTTAGGATACTCTTTGGAATCTAAAACCGTGGTGATTAAAACATTTCTATATACACCGGATTTTCATAATTACGTTATATAAGGAACTTAAGTGCAGGTAATACATTGTAAATTAGTTTACTGTAATGAGTAGATTTCTGGAACGGTTGGATGCGATTTTTCACGAATGCAGATTACTTCTCTTATTTTACAGGTCGCAATTATTTACGCGTGTACAAAGGGTTCACAGGATGTGTTTTACGCTTACCTGCCCTTACTCCTGACTGACAAACTGAAATTTGAAAAAGTATGTACCAGCAAACTTTTGAGGAATTTCTTTCATGGATTTATTTTATGGGATTGAAAGATACTAAAGGTTATACTCGATCTTCTGTAATGGTTAACCAATTACCTGGTTACTCGTCCATTCTCGTTTCCTACCTTCCTCCTTCACCGTCAATTAGCCAACTTTACAGTAAGACGGAAGAAGAGATAGATAGGCACACAGACAGACCGGCACACAATCAGATAGACAGACGGACAGACAGGCAGACACACACGACAGACAGACAGGTAGACAGGGCGACTGGTAGACAGACAGACAGGCAGGCACACACGGCAGACAGGTAGACAGACTGACAGAAAGACAGACAGATAGATAAACAGACGGGCAGACAGACAGACAGACATCGACAGATAGACAGATAGACAGAAAGAAAGACGGGCAGGTATGCAGACAGACTGAAAGACCACCACTTGATTTATTAAACATGTGAAAGAATTGAAAATGGAGTAGTTGTAGTAAATCAATATTTAGGGTGGACTACGAGTTAAAAATCGCGAATCGCTTTCCTGTTAGCGTTTATACTGTATACTTTATAGCCAAGAAACTTACTCTGCCAATGCCTTACTTATACTAAGAACGGAAAATTACAAAGTAAGGACGACTTAATGCTGGTTTAGGCTTTAGCAAAAGAGTGAAAATAATCCTCATGATGACTACAAACCTCGTTCAGGTTTCAGGTTGAAGTTCTACCAAAGGAAGACTGGTTCCTCTAGTGGGGGAATTAAGTTGCACGTATCCAATTGGCATATATAGGAGAATCAATGACTCGACAGATTGATTTTTTATGACAGCAAAACAATCAATTCCACCCCCTGAGAAAGCTTGTAATTTCTATAATCTCAGACGTTCGTGCTTTTTTTGAAGGAAGCGATTGCCAATCTGCCATTGACATTGTTAGTGAGCGCCACATTGTCCACTCAAATATCAAGGAAGCTCTCTGGAAAAGTAGGGAAAAAGGTAATGAAAAGAAAGAAAACTATTTTCAGGTAACTTTCTAATGAAAGCGATGATCGTGGACAAGATTAGAAGCCGATAACCGAATAGCAATTTAACAACCCTTTTTGCATCTGGTTTCAAGCGCCGACAAGCCGGAGGTGAATGAAATCTAAATGCTAAGCAGTCCGCGCAGCTGGATCTGACTACCTACTCAAAATAAATTAATTTAAAATCAGAAAAACGTTCTCGCCAAGGCACGTGTGAGAATTCATCCGAGACAAGCATTATACAGTGTTTGTCGGTTCCAGCTAGTCAACAAGCGTTAAAGTTGTGCGCAGTTAGTCCAGTTGTTGTTTTTCACGGAACCGAAAATGAGGCGAGCGAGGAAACTCTCGTTTAGATTTACTGAACCCGAGATTTCTTGCTCCGAATGTAAAAACTATAGTTACAAACGCATTGAGACGATCGTTTGGTTCAAGGTTTAATTTATAAAACTTAATTCAAGCTTATCAAGAAGCTTTTTGCATACTCTCAAATGTTCCGTTGTGTGGTAGCGGACGAGAGAAAATAATATCATGGCTGCTCATAAGGATTTCATACCAAATGAGCTTTTGTAACTAAAGGTTTAGACAGAGGGGACAATTTCTAGGGAAAATTTGTGAGTCATCCTGAAATTTTCAAGGTAACCAGCTGTTTTTCCTGCTGTGGCTATACTTTTTCTATACCATAAATCCCTAAATTCAGCTGCAATTTTTTCAAAAACGTAAACGTTACGTACTAATAGTGTCATATCGTAGTTTTATTTGAGTTTTTTTTTATCGTTACCGAGATCACATTGACTAGTATTTCTTTTTACTTAATTTCTATTGCTCCGGAGAAGTGTCCTCTTCCAGCTAAAAGCAACTAAATCCAGCATAGCAAAGCTTAGGTGATTATTTTCCACATAAGGTTGTTCGGTATATAAGCTGATGACCAGAACTGAGTTGCGCAATCAGAAAACTGGAAATGTAATAATTTAATGAAATATATATTAGCCATCTTCTGAAACTCCTCATCCTGTTTTAGTGGTCTTTCATTGTGGCTGCTCTGACGGTGACTGGATCGTGTATGTGGTTTCTGCGTATTACCCAGTCAACAAGAGTGTTCACTTACCCGGCCGTCGTTCTACTGGGGTTTGGGTCCTCCGCCATGTTTGTTAATGCACTTGGCTTTGTAACAGAACTTATTGGAGACAACAAAGTAAGTTTCAGAACTCTTTATTTCGTTTAATATCTAAATTTTCATAAAACTTATGACAACTGTACAAATCCAGTTGTGCTTTAATATGACGTTTAAAACTAATCCTTTTTGTTAAATGAATTTTTCCTGCAGGGCAGCTCTGGTTTGGTGATTTCTGTCGTAGGTACCATCTCCAATCTGACCTCAGGAACTCTTTATATCGTCATACAGGTTTTATTTCCTAAAGGAAGGTAAATTTGGACTTTTTGTTTTGAGATAAGAATTATTTTCATCATCGTAAAATATGAAGTGATTTCTTTGACAAAATATGACTTCCCAGCCTGTTTATTTTTCTTTTCTTCGTTGTTCTTTGGTCTTCCTTAGTTTCTTTCTTCTTCCATTTTCTTTCGCATTTTATTTTTTTCCGGTTTTATATATGTACTTCTTATTGACCCTTTGTACTTCTTGTTATTCAACGCCTTTTTATTCTGTTCATCCTTCATCCCTACCAGGCTCCTTCTTTCATCCTGTTCAACAATAAATTCTACCAGCATTCTACGGGGCTTAAAATGCGTTCCAGGAGCGTTGAAATCAATGGGATATTTTCGCGAAATGGAAGAAGGCGACAAAACTTCAAGATAAATTTTGAGTGGAATTTTCATTAGAAAGGTGGAATTTTCATCAGAAAAAGTAATTACGCCCCATGAGCTATTTAGAAGAATTACGAAAGCGAAAAAAATGTTCAAAATGATAAAATAGCTTTTTTATAACTCAGGTATCGACGTCAATACAGGTATTAAAAGAGAGTTATTCTCTCTAGAGAGACTTTCCAAAGGGTAAACATTTGGAATGGTTCGTTTTTTTTTCTCCTAGTGCATCTGCCGATTGCCAAGAGTGTGGGAGTTACGTACAAAATGTGTTCTCATTCGTGCCAAGCTCACTCGCTACTTTTAGCTTGCTGCTTGTAATAGTTTTTCAAGTTAACCAAACAGTCCGCGGGAAAAAAGGTGAGATACAGTTTTTTAGGTGACTTAAAGGTGTGTTCGTGCGTGTAGTTGTAGATGGGTGAACTCCAATGAAGAAATGTAAAATGGTTTCCGTGTTTACATCAGGCTATGTAAACACGGAAACCATTTTAAATTTCTTTTATAAAATAACTAATGAAAGAGGAACGAAAACTGTGTTTACATACGCTCATGTAAAATGGTTTTATGGCCAATCAGAGCGCGCGTACTATTTTAATTATTTTATAAAGAATCATGTAATAAAGGCTCACTTCCTGAGGAGAAGGAAGTAGAATTAAACAAAACATTGCAATTTGGTAAAAAAATATTACATACTTCCTCACCGAAATATTGCAGTCTTGTGATTCACCGTTCACATAGTTAGAGTGTCAGCAACTGAGAAACAGAACAAGTCAAGACTTTCCCCTTTTTCCCTTGATTATAGGGATCCGCTTTATACCCAAGTTCCTTTTCTTTTCTCAAAAATGAAGATCTTATTTCACATTTCAATTGCAATACTCCCTCTCTCTCCCTCTTCAAAATTAGCGTCACGGTCTAAGCTCGAAAAGGCGGTTTCTTAAATCCCAGAGACCTCCTCTTCCACAAAACATTCCCGTCTAACTATGCAACTAACACATTTGCGTTACACTCTAGCATGGTTTATTACTCGGGCTACGCAGGTAGGCCGAGTCTAGGTTTCAGTTTCCTATCTCTCTATCTATCTATCTATCTATCGACGATGTCGAAAGTGTGTAAGCCTGCATTGCTTGACGGTCTGTGGCATTCCTCCACAATCATGAAAGCGAGGCAACTGTGAAGATATTCTTTCTGTGTCACACATAAGTAGCCCGAGTAAACGACTGTAGGCGTCTAGTCTTCAAGATAATATGACGATGAAACCTTTAAAGAGTGTATTACACAAATGTTTGAGGCAGAGCCAGAATTGTTAATTATCAATATCATTAATGATTAAAGAACTCAATTTTCTATTTTTACCCGACACTAAACAGGAACCAGAAAGGAGACTGGAACAGAGTCCGGCTTTACAACCCAACTGTAATGTATCATTAGAAGAAAATAATACGTCGAGATGCTGGCTGAACTTGGTGGCATTTAATTACGTTTACTTCATTTGTATTCTCTATAATACTGACTTAAATTTCAAGCTTGTATCCTTGTTCTCTTTTATTTCCTCACTTATGAATTTGGCGCTTATGAACGGAGTGTCATTATCGCAGACCGATTATCTTCTGATAAATTGTTTTCCTCAAAATGGACAAATCTGAGCCTTTTTTCTTAAAAGTTTTGTCTCGTGAAAAAAAAAAGCAGTTATGCTATTTTTTTGCACTGATACTCTCTGTTCTATTAGATATTTTTCTAATATTGAAATACAACAAAATGCATTGTGTTACTCACATTTTATATAATAAAGATTGTCAATAACATGTTTGGCTGTCAAATGATTCTTTTTATAACATATCACAATTTTACTTTTGTGGAGGAACGGTTCCTAACTAGATTGCACTTGATGTATACAGACCAGCAGACATGAGGTATTTCAAATTGCTGATAGATCAACCACGTAACTGCGTTCTCTAACAACCGAGATCTTAAAGTTTATAATATTGGATATTTTCCAAAAACAAGAGTAACTGTTATGGATCTATCCTTCTGACAGAAATATGAGGCTTACCGGTCAATACTTCTCGTAATATCACGAGTAGCAAAATCTTTACAAAAAGGAGGGAATTGTTCCTAAACAAGGAGAAATTTTCAAGTCAACGGAGAATACAAATCATGTCTTCACCAGCTTCAAGAGCGGTTTAAGATGAAGTTTGCCACAGGTACGCGAAATCCACTTTTCAATTGCAAAGTTTTGTTTTTGTGGCCTACATTGAATCCGATATCAATAACGTCTAGATTATCTATTATATATCTTTTGTATTAATAGTCTCAATGCCTTACATGGAAAGGGACTCGAAAATTCTGGCCAATTGACGTGTGAATGAAAGTGTCGTGGGAACTCTTTATAAACCGAATGATTAGGAACTAGTCTCTGTAAGAATCAACAACTTGGGAAATGAAAATTTTCAACCCCCCTTCAAATTTTGCATGCAGGTAGGCACTCAGGGGAATGCATAAAAATGCCCTTTTAAAGGTTGCAGCACTCTTGTTGCCATGGCAACAACGGCTGCTTGTTCGAGGCCTGAGTCCTCATTTTCAGAAAAAAACGTCGCAAAAAAAGAGAGAAATGTTTATTTCTCTATCTCAAGTTAAATACAACATTAAAAACTGGCACTCCTACCATACATAGTGACATCATTCGTCTTCACTCTGATACATTTAATTTTCCCTGGAAGTGAATGTAAACACACCAATAGATTATTTATCTCGGTACAGTTTCGGTCATTTTTGTTGTCGGGTAAAACAGGGAAAAGGCTTATCTAAATTTCTCCAAAATTATACTGATTCGGGAACTGAAACTACCCACCTAGCTGGTTATAATATTCTAGTTTTTAAATATGCAAAAATCTCTGCGGGCCTGCCTCTACTTTCCATAGGGGCAATTCGCGAACGAAGCTCAAAATCAGATATTGTCTAATTTGGCGATGTTTACATCTAATGTTCTAAACAACAAACGTTTCAGACAAATGAAACGTGCGAGTCTTTGAAAGAATGTTATCTTATGAGCAATGTCCCGAAGAGAAATCTCGCCTCTGGTTGTCATCTTTAGAAAAAATTGATCAACCTTCATGGAGGACTACTCCACGTAACTACAAACATATACCTCAAATCGCATGCATATCATCCAGATGCCGAGTGCTGCACCTTCTTTCATGGGAATTTGAGCAAACCAAAATCCTCTGAAGAGACACTGTTATACTTGTATGTCATTTGAAACATGTTGAAGTAGGCTGATCTACATAAAACTATCCACACACCAGTCATTTGTCATAAACATGTACTGTGTCACGATGGCGTGACGTTGTATCTCTCCATGAGGTTTCCATAGGTCGCCCCAAAGAAGACGGGAAATGGACAGTTTTCGATATATCAGCAGATTTCCGCGCATTCTAAGTAAAAACAACCAAAACACTTTTCTGTTGCCAATACGTCCATGGATAGCGTGGTAAATGTCTCTAAACCTTACAACCCTGGGGTGCTGGGGTGAGGTTCCTTGAGGTTGTTGCGCTTGCAATTAAGGAGTTTGAGCAAAGGCGTCCCAAGTTCACATCTAGAAAAAGACGAAAGATTAATTCTCGGACATATATGTATTTATTCATGAAAGCGTCACGCGTTGTGTTACGCGATGTTTGGCTCCGCAAGGAACCGTTGACTTAATACGTCATACGGAATAGGTCGAGGCCAGCCCTTTGCTGGATAACCTCGTATTCTTTCAGGTTTGCACGCGACAAAAAACAATTTTTAGATGTGTAGTTACATCATCTCGACATTCATACAGAAACACTGTCTCCGTGCGACCGTTAGGATCCGCAGTCCAGGATATCCTCTTTTGACGAAGTACAGGCATCCGCCATGATTACCTGGCTGTTTCTATTTTTACGTCCGCTGACCCCTGTAAGTACTGACCCGTAACGTCCGTTGGAATGTAACGAAATACATGCAGCCCACCAAAGTACTAAATGGACACTATCTGAGGCTAACTGTCACCTGAATTCATCATCATTCATGGCAATAATATAAAACTGTTTCACTTCAGGATTTCTGGCGCGGAAGAGTTGTTTTTTTTACTTATTTACTAAGCAGTTGCTTGGATTCCACCGTAGTTTGTAGAAATGAGTGCTGTCAAGCGATAACATTTCCAAGATTCAACTCACCTCAGCAGATGGTAAATGTAAATTATTTTCTTTTTCTACCTATTTTTCATCTTCCTTCTCTGTTTATACCATATCATTCTATTTAGGATGGTATTTGAGCGCCTAGCAAGGTTTAAAGTGACATTTACCAAGCTATCCATGAACGTATTGGCAACAGAGAAGTGTTTCGCCGAAGTAGCAACATAATGGTAAACACTGCAACTTTAAACGCTTCGTACAAGGTCAATATATTTTGGCCGAAAAATTTTTTTCCAGAAACGTAATGCATATCCTTCTAGTGTCTGATTCACCACTGTGATTGCTTTCAACAGCGTTGGATTTTGTAGAAATATTTATTTTAAAATCATCTCCAATGCTCCATCTAAATTGATATGCAATATTTGAAAATTTATTTTTCATTCGCTTCTGTAGTTTTTCGATGTTTATCGAATGCTATTGCATTAAAAGCCCTTTTTCTTCATAACTGCGTAGTTTTTTCATCATTTTGTGATGCGATAGTGATTTTTGAACCGGTTTTTGAAAGGGCATATTTTGGGACAGATTTTGCTGCTATCAGACGTAACAAGTTCGCGGCTCGATATTTTTGGTTTAAAGCGAAACTGAAGCAAAATAAATTCATTTTTAAATAGTATTAGGTAACCTCTACTTGGAAAATAAAAATCGGCCGATTTTAATTTATAGCCAGAAATCATCGGTCGTTTCTTAAGCGCAGGGCCTCTTAAGAGTCTGAGCCAGTGATGCATGAAGACGTATTGGTCAGCGTTCTCATTGTTTTGCCGGCTGTAATTTGTTGCCAATTGTTCATAAGAGTAACGGTTTGCAGCCAATACTTATCGACTTCAGTCTAGCAAATTAAAAAAAGACGCTGATTAATATCAGCGAGTCCGCAATGTGACATGAATATCGGTCGGAGGATTTTTTGGTGCAACAGCTGTCACTTTAACATCTCAATGTGGATGTCCGCTATAACAACAATGCACTGGCGGAGTTAAATGATTGCATTGGAGGCCTATTACATTTAGGACCAAGTGTTATCACATTTAGGAATTTACTATACATTTAGGACAGTTATTACATTTAGATCAGTTATTACATTTAGGACCGTTATTACATTTAGGCCTTCAACAAGCTCTCCGTCAGAGCAATAACGAAAGGGTAACACTCGAAACGCCAGGTTTAAAAACCTT